ATAAATGGATTTAGAAATATTAAAATATGTATTTAACTATTAATACATTTTTTTGCTAAAGTACTTACTGTAACTGCCCAAGCGAATTAGTATACGAGTACGCTTTAAAAATAATAGCACTTTTGAATACAGACGACAATAGAGTGTGGTATAATAAAAATTGGTAATATTATTTAATTTTTCCTCACAAACATGGACGGTATCATATATATGTACTATTTTAGATAATACAATATGTCATTGTGAGTTCATGTTCATCCATAGAAATGTATCATGTCAGTTTGACCTCCGCGCGGTCCACCCTGGAAACCACCGTCATAATTTCTCATACCATTATCTTCCAAACAAAACAACGTATTGTAGATATGTATAAAAAAGTAAGTAAGCCATTGCACTGTGGCAAGTATGTCGGTCGAATTTCGACCATACCCGATACTAGGTCCATTAAAATTGTTCTAATATTATAAGCGAAAGCTATAACCAGATAACAGCTATTATTAACAGCTGGTATTGTTTTCTATAATTTCATATAGAAAACGTACAAAGAACTGTTATTAAACACCCACAAACGTATTACTTTGAAGTGTAACAGTTTCTCAGTATCGTTTTATATAGTCGTGATCGAGATGGGTATATTATCAGGTAATAGACTAAATGTTTTGGTGGTCCAAGACCACCCAATCGTTAGTGAACGTTATAATTGTTTTCGTGTAAAGATTTATAATGCTAAAGATCGACGGCGGTTTGGTTATGGTAGCCTCTTTATTTGTACAGGCTGTTCATAAAACTGAAAATTGCACGATTATTTAAAATGTTTTTTTAACTCTTAGAACCTTTTCAACTCACTTAATGCAATTTATAACTTTGTTCTACGGAATTTGATTGTTTTCTTTTTTAAATTGAAATTAGACCTGACGTTTATTACAATACTAAAAATCTAAAGGTACCTTGAACTTGATGAACAAATATTTTCAATTGCACAGTTAAAATTTGTTCATACCTACTACTCAAGCACCGTAATGAAATGTCGATGTTTAGCAAATACTAACTAAGATGAAATACTGCTTTATTTATATTTTAATTTAAACATATTAGCAAGATTGTAATGGTATGGTAATAGTATGTAATATTCTATTATCTGTGGTAATAGGATAGATTTCTACCTTTACTAGCATCTTTTTATATATCTCTAGGAAGCAACACGTACTGGACCAACAAGTAAAATAGTTTCAACCTGTATATTAACTAGGAAACGAAGTACACGCTAATACAGGATGAATTAATCATTTGTAGGTACATAATATTATTTATCTAATAATGTGCCTAATTTATTAGCGTCTACAACAAGTGAAAGTTATCATTGAATTACGGTATCAAACAGTCATTAATTTGACATATGAATACATCCGTCAATACTTACGTTAGTGAAATAAGACCAATGATACGTTATGTGGGATATAATTTTGACTATGACATTAATTTTATGTTATTCTAGTAGTAGAATTGTGTTTTGAACTAACTATCCTGATCTGTGGGCCAATCAAGTACCTGTCCCAATTAAATGGGGGTCGAAAGAATAAGAACAATAACCTGAGCTAAGGTTCCAACCCCTAGTTGTGCCATCAGACTGAAATCCTATCCATTAGGCAGGAGTTGACATTCAGCCGCTTTATAAGATTTTCCGTGGATTTGAGTGATCCGATAATCCCAAATATTTTGATCCGGTAAAGATGTAAAAGCCATCTACGGTCAATATTAAAAAGAAAAAACTATCATTTTTTAATTATTTCCTTTGTAATGTTTAAGGTATCATCAGATCATGGTAAGAATGGATTATCATTACATTATTAAATAAGATGCATTTCTGTTGGAGACAGTGATATAAGTTAGTCTAATTGCTGGGTGAGAACCATGACATCTTAATCTTCGGAAAGGTAACCCATGAGTGATACCACGTGATGTCCGTAGTGCTGTTTACGTATATAGGCTAGTGGTAACACTTACCAAAATGTTAGCTATTAACTTATTGCCTATTAGAATTACATAGATGATTATTAAAAAAAATAACAATGTCAGAAATACTATGGAATATGTAATAAACCGCAAAACCCTCGCCGTAATTTCTATTTTGAAAATAATTAATTTATTCTAATATGCAATATATTAAGAATATATAAAACAAATAAACAATATGTTCTTATAGATGACAATACAGTAGCAATTTTTTTTATATTACCTTCTCAGTGCAATTCACCAACAAAATATTTATTGCGCCTTTTAAATATAGCGGTCTGAGCGTAGGCGTCGAACACGCAAGGCTCGTACTCATTTGCATGTAACAACTTCAGTTGGAAGTATTAGGTCTTAATTGTGAGTCCGGGGAGCATGCTGGGGTCCTGTGGGACGCGACATGCTTCTGGCACTCGATAAAAGCAATTCCAACATTTCATTCTGAGGCAGGAGCCGTGATACATTTATAGCTGTATGGAGTTCCACGAGTATTTAACGACAGTTCTAAATAGGATACGCTTTTGTTTTATAGGTTGATGGTACACAAACGTTATTCATTATTTTTTATATATTGAGTGTCGCAAATCTTTAGTAATATTTATTTCTAACTAGCAGTAATCTGCGACTTTGTGTACATAAACTTTCAGTCCCTATTCACCGCCTCCCTCTTTTTATTATTTGTATAGATAAAAGTTAGCCTTACACATCCTCTTAATATAATCTATGTACCTTCATATCAAATTTCATTAACATCCACTAGGTCGTGTTTTCGTGAAAACACAGACATGCAAAGATATAGGCAGACATACTTTTGCATTTATAAAATTAGTATTGATGCAAAAGTGAGTTTTTTTACGCCTCAACGGTTTAAACATATTTTTTGCTTGATAGATATTATAGGTCGAAAAATGAGATGGCCACAACTTATCCAAGTCAAATAACAAGTTCCACGATTATACCGCGATTACAAAAGATTACTAAATAAAATAAGATGCCGTTACAATTTCATTATGATGTTGTTAAATTACTGTACATAATAATAATAACCCTAGACAACTCATATAGCATTGTCACTCCTTAGCTAAGTAGAGCTTGTGTTATGAGTACTATACAACTGATATAAGTAGTTAATATCATTTATTTTTTTATAAATATATAAACAACATTTATAATAAATACCAATAACAAAAATCCTACTCATGCAGTACTAAGACGGTCTGCTAATCCGTTAGACCTCCAAGGCAGTTGCCATTTATTAGAACGGATAGTATTGCGGCGAAGTTATGACAATAACCATTTTAATTCAATACTATTCAGAATGCATTGCTTATGCTTGGTTCTTTTAATTAATAAGTCCATAAAGTATAATCTCTATGAATCTAATGATGGTATTCGTGATACTGTAAACTTACTTCCAACGGAATTGGATTGAACATTTATTTGATCATATTTGCCCTTATTGGTATTGTTGAAGATTTATTTCATAGATATATTATTTGATTAATTCGATTGTATACGACTTTAAGTTTCTAAGAGCATGACCTAAGTAATATAGTTTAGTGTATGATGGTAGCTGTCCTCTGTAGATACCGAGGTCGAAATTTCAGTAATATTTTTGGCATATCTCTTCATCTCTCTCATATATAGAGCTCTATTTTATATTCCTAATAATGTGGAAAAATGGTAAAGAAAATCTTAATTACTACATACCACAGAAACATTATACGTATATTAGATTTATTCAATCAACTTGTAAATTAATAATTAATAGTTAAATTAAATTAAAAATATTTTTTTAATAATTAATTAAAATTTATTTAATAATCAATCAAATTTATTTAATAATTAATTAAAATTTATTTGATTATTAATTAAAATTTATTTAATAATCAATTATAATTTATTTAATAATTAATTGAAAATATTATTTTATCATGTAACATTAATTTTATGACAAAAAATTATTACAAAATTGCTATTTGTTATATTAAAATGCTATTTTGTTATAATTTCTTATCATAAAATTAACTTTATATCAGTTAATGATGTTATTAACAGGTAGGATTCGGTAAATAGTAAACACAAAGGTATGTTGAAAGAAAATTTTATTACTCGAATAAACTTATCTTAAAATTATGATATAAATAGTTTTTTTTATAAATTAATAATTCGTTGCAAGTTTAAGCGTTTATTTACATAAAATTTGGACGGTGTTTATAATCACAACATACGTACGTAATGTAAGTATATTAGTATTTTATTCTACATAATATTATGTAGTTAATATATTTACATGCAAGTATTATATACATCAAAATATATACAAACATATTTTAATTGAAAAGAATTTTGTTCTAAACTGGGCTTCAAAACATGTCATATAATTTATGTATCAATGAACATTTATATCCTATACGTTTAGATATATATTTAATACTGAAGTAAAGACAAAAGTTTACGGTCTATCGGATGGTTCGTAAATGGTGATAAGAGTGATAGCAATTCTTATATAAAAGTCAAGCAAACTTAAAAAAATAACAGTTTGTCTAAAAATAGATTATTATCAAGATAAACTCTTTTCTTACAAAGCAAAATAAGTTCACATATTAGAGATGATACGATATAAAATACAGGTAAACAAAATTAGAACCTTCTCCGTTTTGAAATCGGTAAATAAATTAAGAGACGTAATATGAAACATTGAATTAATATGATGATGGATGATGTTGATGACATATTATAGTTAGTGAACCAGTCTTATTGTACTCTTAATGCTAATTGTGGTAATATTATTTGCAGGTATTACTAATACTATTTATTGAAAAATAATTGTTTCTGTAATGCTTATACTTTGTATATTCATTAGTATTACGTTTAGTCTAAGATAAGTCAGCACAGAAGTTCAAACAAAGTACACAGTATCTGCTAATTAAAAAAAAACAACTTTAAATTTTAAAAATTACTCTATGCTTAGGTCAAATGAAATATCATTTGACCTAAGCATAGAGTAATTTTATAGTTTTTGTACTAAGTTGTCTATTTCTTTTACTTCTTCTTGTTTGTAAGCTGTGTTTTATTCTCAAGTGTTAAATGTGCTATATAAAATGCAGACTTCATAATAGATAAAAAATATTTTATTGTTTCTGAAATTGCCAGATAATGCAGATCATTTGAAACTTCTGTAATAAACTCTTTTAGAAAACCTATTATTATAAGAAAACCTCAAAATTGTACAATAAAGATGAATACCTAAACCAAATATCAACACTTTTTTCAAGTCTTGTATAAAACCTCATTATTTGGGACTTGCATACACGATTGATAAAGAACATTTCTTACGTTTGTCAATAAATTATAATCAGTACTTTGTTCTGACATTATTATGGATCTATATTAATTATTATTTTCTAATAGCCTAAATATTAGAAAAAAATTTCTTATACATAATCGTGTAATTAAGAACCCAATATTATAGTCGGTAATAACGTATGTACACATAGTAAAAAATAAGTACCTATAAATATAAATATTTTATAAATAAATTAACACTTAAAGTTAACTATTTCTAATATCACACTTTTAATATCTTTTTATGTCATGAATGTGTTTGTATGTGTATGTATTTGTAACATACAATTATGTACTGTACCTATATAATAACGATTATAATTTTCTTTATTTCAGGTAGCATCCCTGGCGCTATTTCTTTGATGTTTTGCTGTAACAAGAGAAAACAAGATCTTTATGTAATGAAAATAAAATACTTTCATTATTTACTATTAATTGCTCTTTTACAATATATTATTTGCTCTTTCGACATTTCTAATCTAAACAATATTTTATAACAATTGCGAAATAATAAATATTTAGTTATATTATTTGTCATTATTAGATTTAATAAGAAAATATGTTTTGATTAAAGAAAGAGCTTTATATTATAGATAATTTTCAAGCCCCTTGAAAGTTTACAAAGGAGAATATTTTTGGAGAATGACATTAGATGGATAAATTTATCTACTCACCTGTATGAAGAAACAGATGATTCTTCAGATTGGTATGCTTGGAGAAACCTCTTGAGCATATATGGCATTTGTATGGCCACGACCCGCTGTGTACATACATGTGAGATTTCAAATCCCCAGGGGTGGGGAAGGACTTCGAGCACAGGTTGCACTTGTGAGGTTTTTCCTGCGAAAAAAAAAATAGTTTTAATTGAGGGCATGGGATTACTAGTAATGGGGACAAGTAGACTAGTAGTGGATGACCATTGGTACATTACAAGCATAGGGAGTCCCATTGTTAGTAAAATATGGTACAGACAGGATCAGTGTCAGGTCAGATCGAAGTCTAAGCAGTCTGCCCTGAACCATCGTGGATAATTCCTGTTGTATTCAAAAATTTTCGATTGTTATAGATTAATATTTTTTAAGTATAGAGTATATGTATAGTGTAGTATTTCTTTTAATATTGTTAAATTGTTTTATATTGTTAAAGAAGTATTAAAGACCAGTACGTAACCAATAAGGATATACTACAGAAAATTGTATATTTAAAAAGATTAATAAATTTATGAGAGATATTTTATCTCCTATTTAATTTACACCTACACTATTATTCAAGGTTAATTATTTTAATACAAATTATGCGCGATTTTTATCACCTATAAAATTTAAATGGTCGTTGATAGCGAAATTTATGGTTTAATTTAGGCGTGGGAGAATGTCACTGATTGAATCTTATAAAAAATAAACATGATTTAAATGTTATTAGTGATATATTATAATAATATATATTTATTAAATAAATACTGTTTTTTTTTAATTATATTTATATTTATTCATTAAAAACATTGATTATAAATACTGTGAAATTAATAATAACAAATTTAACATATAAAGTTAGTATAAAATCTCATTTAACAATGATTAAAAATAAATATAAAAAAAATGTTTGAACATTCATATCTGTTAGATACAGATATGAATGTTCAAACATTTTTTTCTATGAAATTGCAATGACAAACAAACTGATACACTATCTGACAGTAAGTGGTAACCATTATCTATATATATTAACAGTACTAGGATATCAAGTTATCATATGACGCCGGTGATACCACTAATAGGTTGCCATTCCGAAGGACTTAGATTTTATAACCCATATGCTGTAATTTCATGCTATATCCTTAAAATATGCTGCCTTATCTGACCCTGTAACCGTACGTAACACAGCTTACAAACCAAGTTGTTTGGTGGTACTTTAAATAATATTTGATAAACGTCAGATGCCTCGGATGGAATATGTCATACGTTCAAAGAGATATAGTACCTCTGCATTAACCGGTTGCTGTATGATTAAATCACCACACTCGCTTCCGTTACAGTTGTAAGCACATTAGTGGGGTGTGCGGGGAGCCTAAAGAACATTACCAACCATCATTACGACGACATTAGGAGCAGTTACAAATGACCATTTCAACGACAGAACGCATTATAATATTCGGTAATAAACTAATTATAGAGTGCAAATTTTAATAGAAAAAAAAACATTTCTCGTGCAATGCCTATGTATCAGCTAATTAGATAAAGAGGACAATTCTAATAAATTTCATATATAGACACATGATTCCTGGCTACAATATGTAAAAATAGATTTTTGCCAATTCTTCTCAATCGAATTTGCCAGTTAAATTGAACAGAAATAAAAGAAGTCGCACAAATGGGGCAATTGTCTTACATTAATAAAATGCTCTTTAATGATTTTATATAGTTCTGCTCTACTACAGAATCTATATTTTACCATAGAATAAACGTATGTATAAAGTTACGTATGTATAGGTATAAAGTTAATCTATGAATTTAGAGATTGAAATGAGAATTATCACATTGTAATTTAACTTTGTTACTTGATTTAAATGTTGATGTAAAATTGGCGTCAATCGTTTAAAATGTCCATTAGATGTGAACATCAAAATTCCATGTACAGTAGTTATTAACTCTTTTAAGAACAAAAGACACCGCTGATGGTCGGTAAATGTACGGTGAACGCAGTGTAAATTGAATACCATACCGACATTGCGGCTTCCCATGACTTATTAAACAATAAATTACCATTTTTTTGTAATAGTCAAATGACGGCGTGGTTTTATAGAACATTTAGAAATATTTCTAATGTTGCTTTGACCTTTTAAAGATTATTGTATGACATTATAGCTGAGTAGGAAATTCTAACTTAGAAAAATATGAAGCATAGCTTTGCAATTTGTAATTTAAATAATTTTTATAAATTAATATTCATAAAAAATATCAAGTCTAAAGTATTGTAGTTTGAGCTAATCAGAACTGATAAGAAACTGTCCCTCGCGTTTTAAACAAATACGAAAAACTTGTCCTCGCTCAAATACGATTGTACATAACTAAATTATACATAGTAAAGCTTAGGTTTAGGTTTAGTATGAATGAATACAGTTAACAAATAATTAAAATAATGATTTATAGAAAATAATTCAATGAGTTTCTACATACAAACAAATACACGGAATACAAATGACGGTGTAATAAGGACGTTGTATAATATAACAACGCAGTGGAATGACTCTTAAATATTGCAACCGTTGATAGTAGTAATAACCAAGGTTCCTTATTACAATACTTTGTGGTGAAATAAGGAATTTGCATCATCGATGGATAATAGATAGTTTGGAGTGATGATGATAAAGAAACAGATAATTTGTATGTAGTAATAAAATCCATTATTGGATTGAATTGGGAAAATATTTTTTTATATACGAATATATATATATATACTGTATATACTATGTAAAACAATAACACAATCGATTTAACCATGATCAAGGTGTGGTGAAACATAGGGAACTCAATAAAATTAAATAAAATGTTTAAACTTTAGATCCCGAGATTTTCTTTTTTATGTATTAAAAAAATTTTGTACAGTTACTAGAAATGACGATGCCACCTTTATTAATAATGATATCAATATTAATAAAAACCCTTCTAATTTCCTGCGAGGTCTCCAGTTCCATTAAAATCACTCGAAAAACTTTTAATAAATCACTTTTATTGCACACAGCACCTCCCATTTCATTTTCACTATCCTTCTAAATATTCACACCCACAACCAAAACTATAATTACTATATCACGCCTAAATCAGAAAGTGGAGTTAAAGGGAATTCATTTAACTGAAATATGAACTTCCGAATATAGCAGGGTAGGCGCTGCAGCAGCAATCAAGGGACAAAAAAAACGAGTGTCGATATTAAATCGACCTCTCTCGCTACCGAATATTGTGATATATAAATCAATAAACAAAGAGTCATTAGTTGTCTGACAATTTCCGTTGGATAAATCACGGGCCCAACAAAAAACTGGTTTTTATACTCGGCTAATAAAAGGACCCAAAGAATTTTGCGACCGAACGATACAGCAAAGATATGATAATATTTGCAATATAATAACTTTTGCATACATGATTTTGAAGTGGTACATTATTTGAAATTATAATTATAATAAATTTACACATAGGTAAATGCTTGCCATAAATATTTTTAGTGATTTATAATTTCGAAGTAGCTTAATATATTACAATACAAAAATGAATAGCAAAATAATACAGATAAAATTATTGAATTTATTAAAAAAAACGAATAAATTCGTCCGAGATTTCTTTTTGTCGAATTTTTTATTATTTAAAAATAAATAATCAATTGTGTTATAATTTGTACACATTTTGCGTAAATTGGTAAAAAATTGTCAACTTGAAAACCCATTCCTTTTGATGTTGGTTACGAACATGTTGGAATATTTAAAAACGTTCGGAAATCGGTCTCGGTTCGATAACATAATCGCTCACTCGATCACCGATCCATTCTGTAGCAGACTTGTACAGTGACGTATGCCCAACTGATACGCCTGCATCGCGTTATGGAAATCGAATGCAAATGTGATGCGCCTCGGTTAATTTAACTAAATAAATTGAGGCAACCTGCGTGTAAGGGATATTACGTTTGGGCACTGTGCTCGTTAGTGTATATTCTTGGAGGTCAGAGTATATGGTTTCTATGGTTCTGGGATTTTGTGGCAAAATTGTTTTACAAAAATCCTTGAGCATTGTAACTACATATACATGTCAAAAAAATTTGATAAATTTGATTGGGCTCTCAAAGACTTTACTATTGGTTTTATTAAAATTGTAAATTCATAAAAGGCACAATACCAATAATTTTAATTAATTCATTAGTATTTAAACAACATTCACAAAACATACAGAAAATTATTATTAAGACTCCTAAATCATAACTGAACGGAGAAATAGGTATACAAAATGAGTCAACATAAAATACGTACTTAAAAAAAACCGAGTAAGTTGGTGTCTTTTAAATAGTTTGTTTTGCCGAAAATATCGTGTAAAAAAAAACAAAACATACAACGAAAATTAATAAGTCAACTGACATAAGTCTGCTTAAAAATTAGTAAGTTGATTTTACATAAGCCTGCTTAATTATAAATGAGCTAAATAGTTATAAATCAGCCATACATGAATGCTCTCAGTCATGTCAAACAAAAACTGATGCCGTTCCCATTATCAATAATACTCAGAGGCCTACTCTTACATCTCAGTATCATAAAATTACGCCCATCCGTATTAATATATTCAAAACCGGTGGAAACTAATTAATAACCATAGCCCAATTATCTGAAACTCTAGTTAATCAATAATGTGGTGTCGGTTGAATCGTGGACCAAGACAAGGAGCATATTAATTGGTACGTCGTATATCTTGAGATGTACCTATGTTATGATTATGTATGTTATGAAGGAGATGATACACTTATGGCCAGGCTTAATTTTATTGAAAAACATTAAAAAATAAATATTTTTATTCTCTTAATGTTAAATTTAATAAACCATGTAATGACTATCATATTATATATCGTTACCTGACGGCGTTGGTGGTCTAGAGGTTTAGCATACCGCTTTACTTTCGATGGTCGTGGGTTCGATTCCTCGCACAGTGCAAACATTTGTATACATGAATATGACTGTTTGTTTCGGTCTGGGTGTTTTCTATGTCTGTATTTACAATAAAAATATCTATGTATTTATATCACTTGTCCAGTACCCACGACTAGATGGCGTTGTGTTAATTGTCTAGTTATTATTTATTATT